GAAAGTTTTTTGTTGTTTTTTAAACTTTATGTCATGAGATCTTGGACAGGTTTATTAAAGGCTTTTGAAAAATAGGGTTTCGGAAAGAAACAATAAAAACTGTCTCTGCTGCAATGCCACTTCTGTTCACTGCTCTAGTTTTAGAAACTATGTAAAGGGTTTGAAAAAAAAGGTAAGATGTATTTTTACACTAGGGAAAATAGAAGGCTGACTTCCTCTTTGGAGTTTTCCAGGAAACTACTTTATAAAGACGAATTTAAATCCTTCCGTTTTCTGTCCTTGAAGGTGGTAAATATGATTGTGGTTTTATCCATTTTGACTGTAAATGAAACAGAGTTCAGACCGTCCGGCTGTGCGTCATTTGTTGGATGGCTGCCACAGACTAATGCAGACGTCCCACTGGGAGACCAGAGAAGAGCTATACTTTGATTCACCAGATTGTGTTAAATAGTCCAGCTGTTGCGATTTGAAAGATAGTTACCTCAGAAGTGAAATAGAAATGAACTTGGCATTTATGCCTCGAACCATTTTTATACTGTTTGGCAATCAGCTTTTCAGAGGTAGCATTTTATAAAATAACTCTCACCGCTTAAAAGTTTCATTCACTGTAATGTTCAAAATGTCCCACCTGTATATTATCAGTAAAATTAAGCTTGAGTGATATGCAGAATTTGCATGAAATAAGCATTTTCCCCTTCATTTCATGAGCTTTGATTGTATTCAATTGAGCTCAGAACCATGTAGATTAGGGCTCTTTTGGGCATTAGTTAATTTGAATTGCAGCCGAAATGTTAGCTAGAATGTTGTTGAATATAATTGAACACGGAAAGTTGATTTTGAAAGGAATTTCACTGAATGCAAACAATGATGTGCTTTTTAAAAATTAGAACACTGTGCTTTAGTTTCTTGTGACACAGTCCGAGAAATCACTGAATCTCTTTATAAAGTTCAGCTTTAGTGGAACCATTTGCAATTGTTCTGATTCTTCTGGTACTGGTAAAATTTGGAGTCAGATCTTTTTCCTTTTACCAGCAAGGGGCCCTGCCAGGTGATGCCCACATTTTGGTTCTCCTGCAACTGAGGAACAGTAGCTACTTCCTGAAAGGGCACCATCTTGTGCTGGGTACCAGGCTTCATCGGGTGGCATAGATTGGTATGCTATGTTCAAGCTTTTATATTGCTTGGTGGTTTTGTTTTTGTCTTGAAGTCACATTTGAACAAATGTCTAAAGTGACCCTGAGAAATATCTATTGGAATGAATCATAAATAACTACCGTATTTTGTTGCAAGTAAAAACTAATGGCCAGGAGATCAAGATTCCAGTTTTTGTCCTGTATCTGCTGTCAACAAGTTGTGTGCCTTGGACAAATCATTTCACCTCACTCTTCTAGACTCATCTAAAGAGTAAAGAGGCTACACTAACCCGTGTTAGTGATCCCTTTTGGCTTGTATGTGCCAGGATTTTAGTTTCACTTCCTGTCCTCTTTGACATTTTTAGGCTGATTAAAGCAGAAAAACTGAACAGAATAATCATATTCTGTAATTCCTGTTGGACTGTTAGATTTATGCTTCCAGGATTTCAGTGTTGGGGGAAATAGCCAAAGTTCATCCTCTAAAATCTTCCACTCTGGGTGCCTTGAATGAGAGTTTGGATTCTACGTAGTGTCCTCAAACAAGCTCTCTGGCTTTTCCTGTGGGATGAGGATGGAAATAGGGGAAGGAGGCCATAAGAAAGGTCCTAATTCCAGAAGAAACCTTGGGCAACTCCCCAGGAGAAACAGAGATGGACCTAGTGATGTCCAATCAGGAGGAACTACAAACTACAGAGGGGAACCCCCCCCCCCAAAAAAAAAAAAACCAAGAGATAGTTTGAAGGGAAGAACATTAGAGAAACAGATCTAAAAGATGCAGAGGTATATAAATCAGTAAACATGCTCAAATTGGCCCATGGCATCCATGTCCTGTTTCTAGGAATAGGTTCTTTTGGGAAAAGCATGGCACTGTGGATGAGGAGGGAACAGGGATGGCTTCCACCTCTTACGCTGGCTCTGCCACTGATGAGCTGCTGATTCTAGGCCAGGCTTTTCCCTTCTGTACACCTCATTGCCCTCATCTGTGCTGAGACATGTCAGGCTAGATGACTGCCTTAATTCCTTCCTGCCTCCACCACCTAGGACTCTAGGCAGTGGTCGTTACCCTGGAGAACCCCGTCACCTCTGCTTCAGTGCAGATTCATACAGCCTGCCCACTGTGCCTTAGTTGGTGATAGTCAGCAAAGAGGTTCTCACACTGTGGCCGGCAAGTCACTTAGTAGGTCAACTGCAACTGAGAAGCTGGCTTCAGGAGAGACAACAGTTCTTTGGACTGAGGCAATTCCAGAATATTTTCAGCCTGAAAATACAAGGTTTCTGAATTTTCTGTTCAGTCAACCTGTTCATTGCCATTGCCATCTCTGAGAGTACTTACTGGAAGTGCCAAGCCCCCCACCAGCTGACGAAGACTACTTTACTTAGAAGGTGTTCACCACCCATCACCTGCAGATACTGAGGACTGGGAATACCTATGGTAGTTCTACAGAAGTGATGGAGGTTGGTATGGGTTGATGGAAGTTGCTAACCCAAAATACCAGGAGGAAAGAGATCCCCATTTGCAATATTTGAGCAGATTGGCTGGCTTATATGCACATGTGGTCAAAATTCGGCTGGTGAAGCCAGACTGGAATGGACCTACAGACTTCATTGTGGCTTTCACCAAAGCCTAAGCTAGGCTGCAGCTTTGTTTCCTAGACTCTCCTTACTCATTTGTTTCTAGTTTAGAGTTGTTACAAGAGACATGTGCATATTTAGAAGTCAAGGGTAGAATAGTAACCCTTTATTTACTTATTTTTTAGCTCTGTGAAGGTCGGTGTGGGGCAGACTGTTACAGCTGATGCACTGCTGTTGATCTCACTGGCTTGCACAGTGGCTGGCCAGGTTTCTACAGTTCCTCCATCTTCTCCTGTAGCATCTCCCATCCCAGGCCAGGAGCATGTGCAAAGGCCCCAGCATATCCTATAGGCTGCATGCATCATCAGGATCTGCGCTTGTAGGGAGACAGATGCATCTCTCATCTGTCCTTGGTCTCCGTCACTTTTACAGCCATCTCCCCTATCCTGCCCTCTACAGCTGCAAGAACAATACATTTCAGCCCCAGCATCAGACACAGAAGCAGTAAACTTCCACAGACTGCCTGATAGCGCCCTTGGTTGCCTAAGGTTTCATTCCCATGACAGGTGCTTTATCTCACTTAGTGGTTCTCCTCGGATCATTGGTATTTAGATGTTTCGTAAGTCAGAGAAAGTCAAAATCGGCCCCGCTGTAGACTACATCCATATGGATCCCTCAAGCATAGTAGCAGATTCCTTGAAAAGTGGTTCTTTGGTCACAGTAGATGGCTTCTAATGAGATAAAGGAATCTTTATGGAAGATGCTATCCAGCCTATTCAGCTTCCTGAGGATACTGACTTTTACCACCCCCAAGAAAGAGTGATGTGATGAGGATCAAGTCACATACTGTCACCCAACAGCCAGAGAAAAAGATTTCCAAGTATTTGGACAGATCTGGTAGTGCTTGCTGCTCAGAAAGCGGTAGGCGTGTGGATTTTTGTACCTGTGATTGGGACATGGCATAGTGGATTGTTTTTGTTATGGAAGAGAGACCTCAAAACATATTCACATCAAAGCCTTGGTTTCTCTCTATTCATTCTTAGCCTTTCACAGTTTTAATATTTGCTCATTCATTTACAATCTGCTGGGGATGTATTATGAATAAAACTGAACAGTCCCTGCCTTGTGGATGCTTACATGGTAATTGAAGACATCAGCATAAAACACCTAATTAACTGTGGTAACTTCAGCAAAGAAGTGTTATGTGGTAAGTGTCTACTGGCAGGTTCGACCTGCTAGAGAGGTCAAGAATTGTGGAAACCCGCTCCTGGGGCAAGGCTGGCAGTGGCCAGCAGGTCCCCAGCACTGTCAGAGGCAGGTCAGTGGTGTACTGGCCCAGTGTTAACAGTGAGTTCTCTGGGACAAAAAGGCCCAATCCTGGCATTGTCAAAGAGGGTTAGAAAAGTCTTAAAAGCCTCGGCCCTGACTGCTGCTACTGCTGCCTTGACCATTAGGGACAGGACAGCAGCCCAATGGCCAGCTTCCCATGGTAGGTTCTGACCATAGCTTCTGAGAGAGCTAAGTGCCAGCAGCTTAATTTCCTGACACACTGCAAAAGAGAATATTTCAGGGATACTTCTGTTCTACAAACAGATGGTCACCTATCCAGCCTAAGAAGCCTCTTGTGTCAGAAGAAGGTATTTTCTGTGAAAGAAACTGCCTTAGAGATTCAGTAAGAAATTTCTCAAGGGCCAGATACTTCCAGTTAGAAAAATTGATGGTGACTTCACACTTCAACTTGTTCTCTGAACTTTGCTATCTGGCCCATCACTCCAGCTCAGCCCTCTCCTGGCTGTTAATGGCTGCAGTTGGCACACCTCTTACCTGTCCCCTGGTGACCAGGAGTGACTGTCTCTCCTCTTCCTGTTCCTTTTCAAAGCTAATCTGCAGTCATCTGCACCCAGGGAAGGGGTTGGCCTGGCTTCTTCCAGTTAAGTGCGGGTAACAGGGTAGGGGGTCAGGACTTTGGGCACTGATGGAGGATGCACAGTGGACCCACAGCATTGCACTTCCTGAGAAGAATGTGTGATTAAACAGGTAGGTATGTTTGGCTATTTAACACTTTCTCTGTTAATCATCCTTTTTCTGCCTTCTTCTGGCCTTGTGCTTCTAATATGTAACTGGATAGCTTCATTTTATTATTATTTGTTTTTAATGGCTAGCATCTCAATGACAACTATGTGCATGTGAATTGGATAGAATACTGGCGGGAGGGCTGGTCTGAATTCAGAGATAGGAGGAAAAACTGCTTTCCTCTCTACTTTTTATTTTTCTGTTTAACTCTTCATCTCCTAGGCCTCCCAGTAGCATTGGATACAGAAGGAGATATGTTGGCAGTGAGAGCAAAGCTGAACCAATCATAGTTTTAGATCCTGTTTCCACAAGCGAACCCCAAACCAAAGACCAGGTTGCTGAAAAAGATCCAGCTCAATGCAAAGACGATGAAGGTGAAACTAAACCAGAATTCAAAGAAGACAGTGCTGAAAAAATGAGAGAGACAGACAGCTCCAGCTGCTGATCCATCCACCGGAGTGCTGACCTGTTTGGAAGTCCTTCTCCATAAGCTCATGATTCAGTTTGGTGTGTGATCAAGGGCTACAGAGTTCTGTGTGGCCCCTGTGTTCACAGTACAGGTTCTTTCCTGGTGTCACTTTTGTAAGTAGCAACTGTAAGCATAAATAAGCTGTTTAGCAAAATATACACATTTTAAGTAGTTTTTGGCTTTTGAACTTTATAGGGGTAAGATTTTTTCTAGTTACTGTATGTATGCAGTATGGCTTTGTTTAGAAGATTACCAAGCATTCAGATGTTGGTATCCTCTTAGGAAATGTGCATACCACTTAAAAATTCAGTAATGCTGAAAGTTTGAGGTGCCTGTGGATAGTTGGCTCAACAGAGCTTAACAACTTAACACGCCAAGCACAGTGGCTTTTACCTGTAGTTCAGCTACTCTGGAGGCTGGGGAAGAAGGATCACTTGAGCGCAGATGTTTAGGCTAGATTGGGGAACACAGTGAGACTGTGACTCAAAAACAAAACAAAAGTCCCCAAAGAAACTTCTGTTTTGGGTCTGATCCTCTTTCGGTAGAGAAAAACTGCACCAGCATGGAAAGAATGAATCCTATAGCATACAAGTTATTTTCTAGGGTTAGACTGAGATAAACTTCAAACTCAGGAGCTGGCATCAAACTAGTTGTCTTTTAGTCATTGTGAATTACATGCCTTGTTAACACTGGATGAAAAGTACATGCTATTTATTGTGCCCAAAGTCTCCCAAAGACCTCAGAGGGAACATTCTAGTGGCCTGAATATGGAATTGAGTTGAAAGTCCAAATCTGGAATCAACAGTAAAGCTTCATAAACCATGTTTTCCATACTGTGAGTTAGTTGTGTTTTCCCATATACTAATGTGGCTGAGGTCCCCTATTTTATCACAGTCCTTATGTACAGTGAAGGTTAGTGACAAGCACACATTTTTCTTGCTTCACTGCCATTCCGTATTACACAGGTGTTTTTGTTTTGTTTTGTTTTAAAGAAATTAAGTGGTAGTTAGTCTCTCAAAATACAGTGTTTCAGGCTACCACAGTGAATAAATAGAAATATAATCAGGGATATTAAAAAAAAAACTTATGCAGCTTTTCAAAGTGAATTGTTTCAAAATTGGTGTTTATTTAAAATAAGTGGTAATGTACTTGAATGCACTTTTTATGACAATGATTCAGTAATGGTAATTTTACTATTAAAGAAAGTGAAAGGTTTAGTTTTGTTAGCATGACTCAGCATGCAGCTGTCAGGTGTTTCTTTCCTAAGGGCAAAAGAAAATGATAGTAATAATTGCAGTAGTTGTATTGTATTGTATTTTTGCACGTGTGCTAAGCAGAGGCTTGAAGACATGGTTAATCAGGTGAATGTACTTCCTCAATTTGGAGACAATTACCTTTCCACAGGTTTGTTATGCTTATTTCCATGTTCTTCCAGTGATGATTTATGGTTACCTATTAAATTACTTGTAGGGAACTAAAGTGTTAAGACTTTTTCATCTGTATGTTTTGTTAACTGAATAATAGCCCTATGTGATATGTTAACTACAAACTGATTAATTCACTTAGATGTTATGCTGTGACTTGAACTTTCCTCACCACAGTGTATTAAAAAAGAAGCACCAACAGCTTCCCATTAAGGGTCAGTTGTGGTTTTTGAGTTTTTTAAATTTAGTTCTCCAACCTGACCAACCTCTTCCACTTTGCTAGGAATCAAAACGGGGGCTTTGCAAATCGCTTGGTATGTGCTTTACCACTGAGTTACACTCCAGCCCCAAAACTGAACCAGTCTTGACCTTCTTAATAGGAAAACTGTATAAGAGTTGGTAATTTTAGTAATTTTTAATGATCTACAAAATGGTTTGCTATGAACCATTTCATTCCATGTTTCTTTGTGTGATCTTTCCTCTTATGTCCATTATCAGTCTCCTGGTTTGTGTATTATACACCTATAGGAGCTGAAAAACACTGTGTTTGCACACATCAGCAAGGTAACACGGTCATGCAAACACCCTCATTCCGAGCAGCAACTGGCCATTCGGTGAGCGGGACCACACATCTGTTAGCACCTGAGTTTTGCCTTTCTGAGCTTCTCTACTTCCTTTCTCCATGATCACAGAGTATTTTAAGCTACTGTGGCACAAGGATATTTGATGTAAGATTCACCTTTTTCCTACAGTTTTTCCCTGTTCAGCTCAGTTTTGAGAGGTTCTCCCCTGCTAAGTTACTTGTCAGCAAAGCAGTTGGTTCCAAGGTAGAGGGGCAAAGGAGGTCTGGTGCTTCCATCTGTAAGGTGTATCCTTGGTTACCTGCATAAAAAAATTATATACATTCTACTCTAACACTTGAAAGTTTGAAGGGATGGCATGCTTTGGTTTTATGCATAAGAACATCTGTGCTGTTTTTTTAGGACTATACATAGGTCTCTCTGAGTTTCCTTAACTCATGCTGATTGTACTTTTACCCCACAGAAGGGCAGAGGCATAGAGGTCCTTTGTGCTGCTCCTAAACAAGGGCAGAATGTCTCTCTCTTCTGAAAGAATAAGAAGTTAATTAAAATTCTTGTACCTTTTTGTATATAAGCCAATATTGCATAAACTCCTCGCCCACGGTCACTTTAGCATTGATCACCCTGTGGGAACTCTGATGGGCAGGGATCACCAAGGCCTTTAGCACTCAGCCTTGTTTGCCCAGAGGTAAGAAGGATGACTGGTTTGGTCTGACTGCTCATCCGTAATTCCTCCTTTCTAAATTTTGTTGACAGAAAAAGGTCTGTTGAACAGGAACTAGTACAGGTAAAAACTATTACTGATTATCTTTCCTGATCATTTTAAGTCATATGTCAGGCAAATGATAGTGGTCTGTATCACAGTCTTAAAGATCTGAGTTATGTTTCGTAAGGCACACTGTACGTGTGTAACCACTGCCTTGCGGAGCAGCTTTAATTGATAGACCTGTTCACCACAGAGAGTGGCTACTCAGCTGTCATTGTCACTGACCTTAGGAGACTCATGAAGTAGTGCTCAGGTATGGACTAGAAAGTCCTAAAGCTTCTTCCAGGCACTGTTCCACATACCCTGTCCCACTGTCACTTTAAATCTGGGATGTGCAGGTTTTTCATCTCTTTTACAGGTACTATATATTATTATACAAGTGTTTTATATGAAACCGATTGGAAAAAATAATAATGGTGATTGGCATTCTAAGAAATCTACATTAAAATGCTCACCCTCCATTGGTGAGTCCAGTTATCAAGTGAGATTAACATGAGTAGACTGTGTTCTGGGTTGAAATTAAAAGTGCTAACCTGGTTAAGGTAATAAATAACCTCTTTGGTTAACTTAATCATTTTTCTCGGTTTATAAATTTTAGCCTGGTTTCAGGGGTTATCCTCAGATGATTTGCGTGTGTGTGTCTTTAAGGATATCTGCAAAGGCTGAGCACCCAGTCACGTTCATCCTGCCTTTAAGGTGAAATTTCCTTCCAGTTTCTCTTGTTCCGCTGTTGGTTGTTAAGAAGCAGTGGTAACCACAAATTGTGACACAGTCTCCTCACTTAGAGTGACCTCAGCCAATTCTATACCTCATGCTCTGAGAGGCTACCGGTGAAACAATTTCAGACTGTAGCTTTGAGAGGAAGCGGCTGGCTCTGCCATGAGGACATTAAGTTCTCTTGTTATACTCTTCAGAAGGAGAGGTCTTCCGTGTACCTGGTAAAAACTTAATAGTAGATTCGAAGTCTAAACTTAGCGAACTTTCCTACAGCTTGGTACATAGCAGTGTATATAATTTGTACGAAAAGCAAGTAGTAATCCGTTTGATAGAACCCAATTGTATAAGGTAGTTGGATATCATTATAGGTATATGCTTGAATAGGTTTATTTCTGGAATTCCTCTGCTATAATCTCAGTAAAAGCTGACAAATGTCAAGAGACAAGTCAGTCAACATATATGTCTCATCATTTTTAACCATTTCCCAGTACCCTAATATAAAATAAACAGTTTGGGCATGTAGTAACCTGAAGAGTATTTATTTCACCGATTTGCTTATTTATATCTTTTCTTGTTCTAAAATGATGTAAGGAAACTCACAAAGATAAAAATAAGAAAATCTAAAATATAAAATGACATCAGGAAAAAAGGAAATCAAGCGTAGGAAAATAAGATGAAGTTCTTTTTAAAAAAAATAGTGATACTCTTGTCACCAGCGGCATCAGGTTGGCTGCAAAAACACATCTCTGCATCTCAGAACATAGAAGCCAGACACCTGTTCCTGGCACTGAAAGCTTCTTGTAGAAATTAGCTCCTGTTTTGTTGATTTCCGACTTACAAAGGACAAGATACTGTAGAGTTGGCAACCAAAATAACTACCTCTAGAAAAACTAGATCATTGCGAAGTGCACAGTACAGGTAATGTCCCCCTAGAAATGTGAGGACTATAAAAAAGCTCACAGAATCAGGCAAAAAATATTACATGTTTTACCAAACAGTGAAATTACAAGAATGGAAAACACCTGAATTAATGCAATTTAAGTGCAGAGCCAGTAGAGGGACAGACTTTACACCTACCAGTCTAATACACGTGGTATGGCTCTGTCCCGGGGTACGTCCCATACAGAATGTGCTTATGATTGGGCTGATTGTTCCACAACCTCTGTGGGGAAGATGGGCTCCAGAAGCCCAGGCAGCTCACCAGCTGCAGCACCAGCAGCTTCAGGCACCTTTTCAGCATCCTCATTAAAGTGAAAAAAGATGTGTTCTTCATTGAAACCTATTTTAAGGAAAAAACAAAGTTTATTGTCTAATCCAAGGTACCAGGTCTGGTGTTACTGTATTATTTGAAGGGGATCATTATCAGAAATGGCCAGAGGAGTCACAATACCATCAGAAATGACCCAGAGTCACTTTGGTTATGCATTCACTGTCCAATACTGTTGTCCTATTCTTCTGGTGTTTGCTATTTAGTGACAGAGGCTTAGCAGAAAAGGAAAAGAGAAAGCTGAGTTAGAGAGGAAAGACCAGTGCTGTATGTGAATACAAACCATTGGCAAAGACTTCAAGGGAAATGATGGCAGAAAGGTCCACATATGCAGTGATGCTATTTTAGTGGCTGAGATTTTACCAAGATCTGCTACTCAAAAGTGGGAATGGACAGATTGGTTTTTCCAGTTTTGCATTCCCTTAACATTTATTGCCCAGAGTGAGTAAAATTCTCAATTCCTAATCCATTCCAATACCTAGGGTTCCACTAGCACCTGCAAGGAGATTAGGCCTCCAGTCCTTGGGGTCTTTTTGAGGTTCTGAAATGGTTGTGTCCCTTATCAGGGGTGCCTGGATATGTATGAGAGGTCATTTAAGGACCCCAAGGCCTCCATGAGTTCAGGATGATGAAAAATAAACAATACGTACAACAATATAATTTGACCTACTTGAAAAAAAGCTTTTGCATTACCCACAAAACACAGGCTAACTTTTGACTGCCTTTACATAGCTCAAAAATAATTTTTCAGTTATACCTTCATTTTCCATGAAGGGTTATGTTTCAAGACCCCTGTATATATGGTAAATGACATTTTAAAATCACATTTTTTGGTCTCTGTAAGTGACTGTAAGCAATGGCCTCTTTTAGTCTATCACAGTCAATACAGAAAACAACAGTGCTTGTTTAGGATGCTTCTCTCCAGACAGTACACAAGGTCTTTCTAGCCATGCAAATTTATAAAGGTTGGATTTCACACATGGTTCATTCACTTCTTTTGAGACTTTGACCTTTCTGAGGTACATAAAATTAACATGTTGCTTAGTTTTTTTTTTTTAAGTGGAAGAGTTGTCTCCAGGCTCCATCAGGAAAACATCTGCCCATAACTTTCACAGGCTGTGCAGAAAAGCCTCTATAATTTGGATGATAACAAAAGGTAGGCTTGGAGATTCCAATCAATTAATTCTATTGAAAAGCATCGTGCAGTCTATTCAGCGGGAAGAGGGGCAAGAGTTTTAAACATTCAGGTAAATAGATAATCCATTAAGACAACAATATACATTGTGGCAAGTGCCATCCTGGTTTTGTCAGTGCTGATTTATAGTCTCTGGATTCCTCTGCCCTCCTGCTGAGGGACTTCTATTCCCCCTCTTCCCATCTTTGTTCCCTTATTCATGGCTAAGTGAAAACAAAGTGAGAGAGCAGCACATACCCAGTGTTCCATTCTGCACAAGTTCTTCCTCTATGGTGAGAAGACGGTTGTACTTCGTCACCCGTTCACCGCGAGAAAGACCCCCCAACTTAATGAACCGGACACCAAGTCCAACGGCCTGAAGGTGGAAAACAACTCATTTTAAATGGGGGATTCATGTTTTGCTGAGCTCCAAACAGTTCTTTAAAGCAAAAGGAAACTGTCATGGTGTGCTGTTGGGGTTTTTCTGTTACAGTTTCATCTTTATCCTGATGTAAGTAAAGTCTGCTTACGAGCCAAGAGTGTTGAAAGGCAAAAAGATGGTATGGCTGACTGCCCATCAGACGTTTTACTAGTCATGTAAGCATGCTGATTTTATCTAAGATCAGCCTGGCCTTTCTCCTTCATTTTAGGAGGGAAGATTGCTGGTGCACACCCCGGCTATTTAAGTGTGCTTGTCATTTTCCCCGGACTTCAATTGTGCTTCTTTTTAAAAGTTCAAAGATTAGCTCTTTGCAAAAGGTAGCTGTCTGGGAGGAAGCAAGTCTATTTCATAAAAGGTTACATGACTTTCTCCACCAAAGATGCATTTCTGTGAAATACCAATTCGGGATAAAAGCAGTGTTTTGGCAATTCTGCAATTGACCAGTGTTCAGCACTTACCAAATCGACAAGGCTGTCATCACAGGACTCTCCATCTGTACTTCCAAGGATGGCAATGTGCTTGGTACCTGGAAGAGAAATTCCTTCGGTTTTGTATGGTACAGATACAACTCACATAGATGAGAGCTTCTAGAATCAAAATGAGAAATATACTGGATTTAAAACTTTCCTGTCAAGAGTCAAACACCACTAAAGAATTTTAATTCAAAGATTTGCATTGTTATTGCCCTTGGGGAAAATTGGCATGTTTCTAAGACCACAGCTATAAAACATATTTCCTTTTCATTGCTGTTCAAGTAGAAAAGTCTGCATTTCAAATACGGCAAGCACAAGAGTCCACAGTCTACATAGCAGCTTTCTTATTTCATCCTTTAGAATTTTCAAGGGAACCTGTCTTTCCAAGTGTTTATTAAAGCGGTGTTCATAGTGTTTAGTCATTTGAGGATCTTGAAACCCCTTGCACCTTGCCAGGGTCTATGAAGAATATAAGCTAAAGATCTCACAACAGTGACAATGTTTTCCTTTGACAGAGCCCACCCATGTGAAGATGAAAGAACACCTGCTGAGGGGTGGGCTAGGGGAAAGGCCTGGGCTAGATTCTCCCATCAGAGGCCCCAGACCAGCTCTGCCGTACCTATCATTCAATCCTCTGGGACTACCCTGGCCCCAGCTGCCAGTGTGGCCCTGCTGTTTGCTCCAGGTCTGAATCTGGCCTTGTGCCTCCTCCCCAAAACCTGCTCTTGGTATTTATGTAACAGGCTGTCCATGAACTCAGTGGAATTTAGTGAGGGATACCAGCCAATAAGTAGACAAGTCATTGTGGTAACACTACAAAGAGAAACGATTAACATGCTACATGGGAAGTTCAGAGCAGAACTAGAGTAGAGGAGACCAGAGGAGCCATGTACATCTATAAACATTTCATTTTGGTCAATACCTGAAGGATAAAGCATAGTTAACTAAGTTAACAACACTGATCGAAGTAATTGAGACCAAAGGAATTGCACACTCAAACTGAGGCAGCAAGGACTTCGAAAGTTGAGGAATTAGTGTATGGCATCATGGTAAGGTCCACAGAAAATTACTTAATCTTTCTAAGCCTTATTTTCATATCAATAAAGTAGGAATAAATGTGTGCTTCATAGGATTATAGAAAGAAATGCTAAGATTCCTGACTGTTGGGTACTGCATGAGGCTGCCCACCTTGGGCATCCAAGCCCCACCCATGTTGGGATCCTGCTCCTAACCCCAGCTTCATGACTAAAGACTTGCTTCTAGACACTTGCTTGACTTGCTTGACAGTTTCGTAGTGTTTTGTGTTAGGAGTAAAATCTCCCTCTGCTACAAGTCTGTTCTGACAGACAACTGTCTGCTTTTGCTGATTGGATCTTTTTGCTTACTTTCTTAACCTCTGAAGAATACCCATTCCCTGCTATAGATGTTCTAGTTCTGTATTCTGATCACGCAGGTCCAGGTAGCTTAAAATGGCCCCCTAATATCAGGATATATTAAAAATGGCAAAGTTTATTTCAGTCCAGCAGACTACAACCTTATAGTGTAAACTGTGGTCCCTGTTCTTCAGGTGCTGAGGATTAATCGAGAGCACAATGTGACAGTCAGAGGAAAGAATGTATAATACTTTAGCAGTGGGCTGCAGTGTAAACACCTGTCCCTGTTGCTTCCTGGAGGGGCCTGACACCTTGCGGTGGTGAATCCTGAGCTTGTTACGAGCTTGGACATTACTGTTTGCAAATATGGCTGGAGAAGGGTCAGGCTGTGGTCTTTCCTGTAAGGGGCAGAAAGTCCCTTCCCATTGTGAAACTGACAGCTCAGTGACCCCTTTATGATGACCTTCAGTAAGGGAGGACCATATGGAATAGGGCTATTACTAGAATGTTCCCAGAGTAACTCACTAGGCCACCTTTTGTTTCCCAACACTAAATCTCCCATAAATGGTAGGATTGTTTTTCTTCCCAGATTTATTCCTTCCTTTGGCTTTTTAACTAATTTTCATATACTGCATATTTTGGGCATCTTACATAACCAAGTCATTATAAGCCTTTCAGATTTATATTTTACTTACTGTCAATAAGATTGGTTATTTCCACCAAGTCAGACACTGTAGTTTGATTTGTATGTGTTATGATCAGCGCATGGGATCTGGGGATGCTGATGTTTCCATGCTCTAGAAGTTTAGAAATGCTTTTGGATGCCTTTCCTGCAATTATGTAGCACCTGGAACCAAGGGCATTATAGAGGCTGTCCCACTGTTCTGAATCCTGGGTAAATATTTAAGAGTTGGTCATTATACTATAAAACAGGAACCATAGCACATAATTAAAGTCATACCATTTTCCTGAGATACACAAAACATTTTCTTTTGTATCCCTATGTGAATGATTCTCAGTAATATAGCCACATGAGTTTGGACGCTTCATTGAAGAAGTCCTTAATGTGACTTAATTTAAACTTAAAGATCTTGCAAGATGTTAATGCATTAAATACTATTCCTCACGTGAACTGTTATTTTTCAAACCCAGGCTACTCCCATCCCATATCACCCATAATGCTAATTTAATTGTTTGAAGATTTCTGTTATTTTCGATGAACAAAAAAAAAGAGATTCTTGCTCCTCTTTCTCAGAACCCTTATTTTTAATTGGGGGATCACCATGTGAAATTAAATGGTTATTTAATAAAGTATATGTGTATGAGTACATATGTGCATATATTTGAGTATGCATATATCTGCATACACATAAAGTCATTCCTGCCATTACACCAGATTTCAACTATCCCTTTAGAGCTGATGATGCAGGTATGTCCTTTCACCTTAGGAAAAAAGAAGCTATTATTGAGTCTCAAGACTATTACCACAAGGCCAGTCTGCCACTGAGCTCAGCCAGTGGCTTCTGAAAGCTTTTCTGTAGGCTTGACCAGGAGAAGGAAGAGGAGACTTTGACAAGCCCTGGGACTTCCTCCAGATGAGTTCCAGTGTTCAGACTGTTCCTAAATAGTAATGCTTATCTCATAAAGGCTATCTGTCTAATCTATCTATTGAGTATACAAATGGTTCTAAATTCACAAAATCAGTAATTCAAATTTAGGACATTTACATAGATTAGAAAGATAGTCTTTTGTGGCATGTAGATGAGCCTTGTCAAAGGCATTAGTTGAAAGAAGTCACAAAACCTTAGTATCTCAAATCTTTTAAAATATGGCTTTCAGTCAGGCTCTGTGTACACACTTGTAATACCATAACTGACGGGGGCTGAGGCAGGAGCATCTCATATTTGATTTCCTCCTGGGCAGTGACAATATAAAAAAAAAAAAGCTGGGAATGTATCTCAGTGAATACCTCTGGTGCGATCCCCAGTACTGGGGGAAAAAAAGTTTTGTTACTTTTATACCCATGTAGTAACTGGATTTAGTTTTTAAAAAAAAGAATGTGGCCTCGTACAGGTCCTGTTTTCATGAGTACATGAAAATGATATATGATTAATGTATTGGAAGTACCAGCCAGCACAGCGGGGGCAGTTTCCATCAGAGAAGTTGCTTGTAAATAGACAGGTACTCCTGAAGGGCTTGCAAATGGCTTGTTTCACTCGGCAGACAGGCACACCCCAAGGTGATTGTGTTTCTATTATTCATGTGTTTATAAGTGCCTTTCTCATAAATGTCAAAATAAAGCCCCAATTACAACACATTCCCAATGACAAAGATACCAAAGAATGACATTTTATTCTGTGTTTTGTTATGCAACATAAAAAGGGGAGCCTGCTTGCTTTACAGCATAAAAATATGTTATAAAATGTAGCCAGCTTAGGAAGCTCACCTCCTTCCTGAAAGGATCAATTAAAGCAATGATGGAAGGGTTCTTGTTGACCAGCTCCACATACAGGTCGACCATCTCTGCTGCACTTTTGTGGGTACCTGTCAGTACTTCGTACTTTCCTTTACTCTAAGGTATGTATGGCAGACAGCAGAATAAAGGATACATGTTCAGATGTTAACGATGACAATCAAATTCCTTTTCATTCTTTTTATGTGATTATAAACACTATTTTCAGCCACATTACTCTGAAAAAACTATGCATTTCACTTTACATCATCCTCAAAATATTAACTGGGGTAGTCATGTCACTGTTTCTCTTTATGCTGTATTGAGTTTCCCATGGACTTTGATGGAGCCTTCCACACAGAACACCAACGTATACAAAATAGATGGGGAATTGTTTTTTCATTCAGGTTTATGACATGGTGCCAGGTGCCTGGCTGCCTAGGTAGGTAAACAATGACATAAATTCATAAAATAGCAAATAGTAATAATGCAAAACCTGCCCACTCTAAAATCCACAGGCTTTCAACTCAGTGAACAAATAATTTGTTTCCTTTATTGTAAATATTTTAAAATTTGAAAGGAGAGCTAGACTTTTTTTTCCTCAATGCTGGGGATTGAACTAGGGTACACTGAGCTACATTTCCCCAATACCTTCCCCCCTTTAAATTTTTTTTTGTCTTTTTTATGGGTAGCGAGGATTGAACTCACTACCGCCTGCTTCCAAGGCAGGTGCTTATGCCGCTGAGCTAAATCCCCAACCACCCCACCCTTTAAATTTCAAGACACAGTCTGATCAGGTTGTCCAGAACTCTCTCAGACTTGCAGTCTTCTTCCCTCAACCTCTGTCACAGCTGAGATTATCGGCTTTGCATCTCTATCATTCATCCAGCTTGGGCTAGGCATATGAGTACTAACTTAAGCCAAGAAGAAATGTGAAGTGGCTTCAGGGGAGGCCTCTCGTTCTCAGATCACATGCAATTTCTATAGGAACTATTCTGAAAGTTGGATTTTAGCAGTCTCACTCTTTTGTGCTTACGGATCTAGTGTAGTCTCTGTAAAACAAAGCACCTTATTTTCCAGTCTATTCAGACTTGAAACAGGTAGCACCGGGGACATTTAGGTTGTGGCAGGGAGGTAGAATGGGCAGGGTGGTTTTTTGGTTTGCTAATGCTTTCCTGCTGCTGCTACCAATAGATTGGATCCCACTGGAATTAACAGGCTCTTAAGAAGTCCATAATTGAGATTTTACACTTCATGTTAAAAAGCAGCAAGAACTTTCAGCTCCTATAATGCAAAACTTAAAAATCTTATCTTGTCAGTGAAGAAATTCTAATGACTTTGAACTAACATAATTATTTGATATCAAGCTAATACATTTTACTGAATATAAGCAATAAATACCCAGACTATGTAGCACTAGCAATCAGTATATTCACAGTTCCTGGTATAGCTTGCTGATGAAAACATGCAATTATTTTTCTTAATGGTATGCCTAGGAACCAATCATTATGTGAAGAATAGGAAATTAAACATTTCTTTATATGCTTAGTTTCTTTAGAAAAGTAAAAGAACCTTGAGAAATAAGCCAAAACTTAAAGCTCATATATATTATTCAAAATTTTCTTTGTCACTGGAAGTTAGAACCAGGGTTAAAACAGGATCCTATTTTGTCTTGTTGCCAGAAGTTGACATTAATTACCAAGTCACCATAAATGCATGTCAATATGCTGGGCCATTTTGTAGACAGGAGACAGTGCTGTGTATTTGACAGTGAGAAGTATGTGTGTATATAAGGCAGAAAACTTCAAATAGATTTTCTAATATTAAGATTTAAGTATAGAGGTACAATGATGTATTAGCTTGAGGAAGTAAGGAGGAGAACACTTTTCAATGAATTTGCTTTCCAGTCTTTAAAATACTTCTCTGTGGTTAATGTGATCACTAGGTGATAGTTCATCATCAAGGCTCTGTCTTAACCCAGGTGGGGGAGAAGACTTTACATAGTTAAATAAAAACATAACTTCACAAACTTCAGTAACTTGGAAACATTTTCTATAGCAAGTGAGGGCTGGAGATGCTGCTCAGTGGTAGAGTGTTTGCCTACCATGTGTTGAAGCCCTGGGTTTGATTACTAGCACTACAAAAAAATTTATTGTTAAATGAGTAACAACATAAGCCCTAATAATCATCTGCCTAGCAGGACTTATGAAGAAATCGTAGTTACCATTGATCTACTTTTCATGCTTGACAAATTAAACATTTACCAACCAAATGATTATATTCCACAAAACATGCCATTTGTTAAATTATTTTCCAATAGTTTTTGTTTGCAATGTAGTAATCAAATTAAGCAATTTCCTAACAAGTCCATAGTTGAAGACCTTTACAATACTTCTTCATTGTATACCTGTTAAATACATTTTTCATATTTATTATAGAATTTCTGTATAAAATTAAGACATTTTCTGTTATTATTTTATTTTCTGTCTCAGTTATTAGGGTTGAATTCAGAGAATGCTGAGCTATATCCTCTGCCCTTTTTATATTTTGAGGCAGGGTCTCACAAAGTTGCTCAGCCTGGCCTGAAACTTGAATCCTCTTGCTTTAGTCTCCCAAATGTCTGGGATTATAGGCCTATGCCACTATTTTGGCTTTATTTTCAAAGTTATATGGTTGTATTACTCTCTAATAATTAGCAAATTTGGCTTTCTCACCACCTTTTGTATGATCCTTTACCCATTATTAATTTTTAAAAACACTTGCCTCTATCTGGGAACTATTCAGATAAGCTCTTGAATTCTAGTTTTAAGGTCATGGACATCAACCAGAAGTAAATGTTCTGAAGTGGAAACTCACGTAGTCCATCAGCTCATGTCCAGCACAGTTGATGGCCAGATGCAGATGTGTTCCCAGTTCTAGCTCCAAGTTTGCACAGACACCCTGTAGTAGAAGCAGTGGCTGTTCTACGGTGTCACAGCTAAGGGTTAAACAGCCAAGATGCGACATCCTACCAGTGAGTGACTGCTGCAAGAGCAAAAGAAAATGATGCATATTAGCATATTACATTAAGGCTCCTAGAGCTTCCTGTGACGGGCAGAGATTACAACTGGACATATTTCTGCAAAGATATCTAGCGATTCTGGATTAATCTTACTTCTAGATCCCATTCATAGGACTTTGGGCATAAAATTTCTCTGCACTATTTGGGTTTTCTCTTGTTAGCAGGCCTGTGTTATCACTTTATTAACTCTGCCACTATGGGGCTAGCCCAAGCCCCAACTTCCAGTTCAATGAATCTCCAGGGATATCCCTGTAAACACCTATCCCTCAGTCTGTTACTCAACCACTCTTTTTCTCCAGTATGTTTTCTTCTAGATAGTCATAACAGCTAAAATGTAATGATGTAATACTCGTTCTAGATAACTTTTATTTTTAAAAAGGATTGGAGACTTTAGTGAAAAGGATACATAACTGGGAAGGGTTGTGAGTGGTAAAAGATTTGGGGACCTGGATGACCCTTAGGGTAAGGCAGTCATATACTTCTATTGCAAGGTTAGCTTTGATGAGCCTGACCATACATTATTACTATACACTTATAAATTGAAGCTATATCAGTAATTCTGAGGGCTAAGGCTATGTGTTTATCAACCTCAAGAGAAGCTGTGAACCCAGGTATATATAATCCTGCTTTTATTGATGATAGTGCTAACTATAAAAACCATCCAGCATTTTTAATATCAATGAAAAAGAAGCTTCTGAACTCAGCAAGCGAAGGCATACCTGCAGAATTTTTGTCCATCAATTTAGTTTCATAAAGTTATTATGAATTTACACAATGCAAATTCATTTGCACCTTACATCAATCTCATGAAGCAAGTATTATGATTAGTCTGCATTTTACCAAGACTTAAAGTAACTTGGGACAGATTTTAATCCCAGCAGTTAGGTTCAGGGACCATTCCCTTAATTTGGTGAGGATGGCCCCATAGGAAAAATAAATAAATAAAGCTGATCACATGAAAAGCAAACCTTATCTAAGTTTCTCAGAATACAGAAGACAATTTGCTAGAAGAAAGGGAACAGAACCAGCTGGTTAGCTGTTCACCATTCCCACTTCTCTGGCACGACCTCCTATGAATGTGCCCACTGTAACGTGCCCACACGTAACACATTTACTGCTGTATTTATTCACATTTTTCTCTTTATCTTGTCCATCTTTTGATGCCAACGGCCTGACATCTCTGCCACGAGGGTGGATGAGGATGGCAGGCTGACTGAGTAAATGCTACAGATATGACCAAGATTTACCCTCCTGTGTTATTGCCAGGATTCTTACTAGCTATTCTGTATTTTTAGAAGGTTGGATAGATGATAGGTTATCTATCAGAGCACCTACAATCAACAAAGTAAATGACTGGCCAATCCAATTCCGTCTCCTGAGACTCTGAGAACAGTGTGGCCATGGTTCACATGGACTGTTTGTCTGACTTCTGACAATCCTTGTATTCTTGTAACAGGAGAAATATTTTCCTCTTAACTGGAGAAATTTAAGCTCATCTGGAATGGAGGTTTTGTCCTTTGGGGGACATAAGGAAAAAAATGGCCATCTTTCTGTGCCTTTTTTTCCCCCTCTCTCTTTGGTAATGGTAAAATTAAAATCTAAACTATCCTATATGCCTTTCAGCCTGTTATGAGAGTCAGCTTCCCAAGCCCTTAACATATAAGGTCAAATGCAATCTTGTTACTCTTAAATGCTTCTGAGCCCTCTGAGATTCCAACTGGCTGATAACTGTAGGCAGCAATGGCCAGGCAGTCCGCTGATGAAAAGGCAGTGGCAGATTGCTATTCGAGCCCTGGGTTTGAGCTCCTCAAGCAATATCATTTTATTGTTTCCATTTGCCTTAGCTCTGACCTTAAAGAAAAATGACTATGGGAGAATAACGAAGGCAGGAAAAAAATACACAAGTTCTATATGAGTGTGGTAAACAACTACATGTACTTACTTGACCTCTTTTGTTTCCATTATGTCCTTTTTTGTTCTCTGCTTTTGGAGGAGGGGGCTGTGAGAAAAGATAAAAACACAAAACTTAGGGTCTTAAGACGAATCTGTGGCAGCAAGCAGGGCTTCAGGGCTTCAGGCTGTCTACTCATAGGAGCCTAGTGAGCTGGTCTAGAACAGTGAAGCCTGCACATCTGTACTCACAAATACACATGCACGTGCGTGCGCGCACACACACACACACACACACACACACACACACGGATGGTTCCAGGTCCCCTCTACTTTTTAAAGTCCCAAACACTGTCTCAAATTGAGGCACACACTACCTCTAGTTCAATATTACCTTCTGCCTTCAGTCACATGTCAGGTATGCAAACACAGGTTCACATGTTTCTACTCATACATAAGGTATTCACACATTGTGTAAGGAACACTGGCTGTACACAGTCACTCTTTGCAGGAGGAACCAAAATTCTTTTTTTGTTCTTGTAGAATACTATCTACCACTATGAGATTGCGTTTCTAGGTCCAATATACTGTTTTCCCTATAAGGCACAAACACCTTATATCCTTTGTAAATCCTAAAGAATGATCTTAGTACATAGCCAGCCACCTCAGAAATCTAAATGAGATTGAGTATCCTTAGAAAATGGATCCATATTTGGTTTTTATGAGAAACACAAAGCAAGTAAATAGTATTTCTTAAAGCAATAATAATTATTATTGAATGAAATATTGATTTAATTCAAAATGAACTAAAAGTTGGACCGAGAAGGCATCAGTAACAGGATACCATAGATTTTGTTTACATACCACTTCCAGTGTTTTGTTAATTTGTTTCTGAATCTCCAGAAGCATCTCCATGCCCTATAAGAAGAGTAACTATGATTTTGCACAGTTGCCACCTAGATATTTTAAACATAAAAACTTACACCACATGTGACCGTTCCCAACTCAGGATACTATATTAGGAGTCCCTGCTATGGTCCCTGTAGGGGTATGGATTACAGAATTCAGAAGATGTTGGTCAGTGGCTCTTGGTTTGCATTTGACTGAGCACAAGAGCCTCTGCCTCAATCTCCTTGTTGTTTAGAACTGGTTGGTTCCACTGACTGGACCAAGTTAACTTAATTCTCTTTTGCTCTATCTTGACCCAGTTAGATAACCTTGCAGTACATGTCACATGTCACCAAAAGAAGTCACCAAAGAAGTTGGGGTTAGAGTGCCTGAGTCAGTATCACTGCATTGTCACTTTAAAAGTAAAAAGTAGGTTGTGATGATAAGATCTCTATATAAAGACAGAGAAGGAATGGCATGTCCACCTCTGTGGTATTAACATAGCTAAAGAAAAGATCCTGACTGGCAGCCAGATCTGAGTGAGCTGACAGATGGTAAACCTGATACAAGTCCTGGTTTATAACTAACAAGATGCAAGGTAATACTGATTTTATTTCAAAAAGTATCATAAAATATTCTGACTTCTTACAAATTTATTTCTATCTTAGAAAATATCACTCTTTATTAACATGTTCCACTGCTGGGTGGCTCTTAACCATTGAGTGGCATGGGACAGTCATGTATGTCCCACTGATGATGCAAGCTGACCAGAACATGCTAATGGGAGGTAGGGGAAAAGCTTCTTGTTCCTTTTTGAACATTATGAAGCATAAACCTCTAAAGTCTCCCTAAGGCCTACTTGATAGAATATGAGGATATTCAGAGGCAAAATGACTCAGGCCACTGAAGATAAATATAGACAAATCAGTATACCACTCAGAAGTGACTCAGGGTTCATTCATTCCAAAGATAGACATGAAATGCCTTTTATGTGCTAGGCATTTTGCTAGGCTTAGAGTTCATTTTGAATAGAGAGGGTCACTAGGAAAGTGCCAGCTTCTAGTTGCTACTGCCAGTAAATAGAATGCATGCAGAAGTCAATAAAGACATCCCAGTTCCCCTGGCTAACAACCTTCCTACACCATCAAGTCCTCCGAAGTTACTCATTCTGGCTTCTGTGTAATCACTGGCACAAACCAGTATTATACTGAACCAGACAGCTAAGATGTTTTCCTTTTATTTTTACTTCTCACATTTCCTATTTTTTTTTCTTCCTATTTTATACCGGATTCTCTCTCCCTTGGTACCATAAAGGAACTATGCTAAGAACACATTCATGATGCAGTATTCTCTTTTTTTCAGAAAAAGAAGTCTGAGGTAATTGAAGGTACTTGTTTAGTTGTTAATCCAGGATGGGGTATGCAAATCACTTCTTTCATTAAATTTAGCTTCCCAGGTGATGACTTCCCACAGCTGACCACAGATGCCATTATCAAAGGTACAGTCAGTGTTGATGACTGCTCCTAAAAAGGGGGGGAAAGCAGGGAAAATGAATAAGGTGGTTCATCTCTCTCAGACACTCAGGGCTCCTAGTAATGCAATATAACAGACACTAACCTGACCGTGCTTCAGGAACGCAATGTTCAGGTACAGAGGATTGCTGCCCAGAATGGCACTGGTCTTGGCGACAGCTAGTGACACAGCCCCTATGGCCATACTGCCACAGAGTACTGGCTCAGCAGGTTCTGCAGGTGCGATAGGTTTCTCTACAAGAGAATCCTTTTTTCCTGGAGGAAAAAAACATTGACAAAGATTCCTTTCTGAGAAGTCTGTCATAAGACTATGCTTCTAAATGCTTCACATATAGATAGCAAAGCTCAACAGAAAGGAGCGAAAGCTGAAGCTGGAAAGAGACTATTCTCCCCCTCACCCACCAACTGTGTGTGGTTTCACTTATTGGTGCTCAGATAAACCCAAGCCATGGATTTTGCCTAAGAAATTTTAGGCCATTTAATATTAACTCCTTGGGGTGAGGTGGGTATTACACCCATATACAAGCAGACTGCAGGTTATGCTGATTATGAAACTTGTCCACTGTGTCTCAGAAAGTAGATTTGGACAGTCTTTAAAAGTGGATTCTTTCATCTAGGTCAACACTCTTGCCTCCTCTGGACCTCAGGAGTCATATCAATGAAATAAGGGACCCTGACTTTATGATGTCTAGTCTCTTCTTGAATGGTGCCTTCTTCTTCAGTGGATTCCACCTTTATTGGGTGCTCAGAGGTGGAGGATATCACATTATAAGACGCTGGCAGTGACAACAAATTGACACCACAAACCCATGGCACCTGTGCCTTAATGGGCACACTGAGCCCTCTTTGGTCAGCATGTGAACCAAGTTGCCCAGCATCACCCCAAAAGCTGAGCATCAGATAATAGCACACATGGGGCAATGTTGGAACTTTGCAATAAAGTGGGTTTTGGGCTGCATTTTGGGTTCTCAGTCTCCAAAAGATGAGTTCACTGAATATGGCAGTCATTGTTGCCTTAAGGAGTATGCTATAGTTTGACAGACACAAAAACTCTCTCCTAAGAGAAATGCTGATATTAACCTAACAGAAGGGTTGAGGTTAGAAATCTGTTGAAGACATGGAAAAAAGGGCTAATTGACTTGATAATTTCTGTGCTTTACACTAGCAAGGCTTTTAAAAACAAATCTTAATTTATATGTGACATAGGACTTAGAAAATACTCATTGGCCCTGTCAAAGAATTCCAACATTGTTTAAAATATGGAGTGGCTTTGTGATTACCTAATGGAAATTTCTAGAGAAGGTGAAAGATCCCCCATACCACACCCCACTCCCATATTGCCACTGTTCAGTGTACTTCGTTTAATAAGTGCTCATCTCTGAAAGAGAAATAAATTTGTCTGACAAATTAAAATGGAGGCCCGGGTAGGTTAAAACACTGTCCCCCCGCACAGTATCTTCAAGGGAAGATGGGGTTTGGAGGACAGACTGCATCTGAACTGTCCAAGCATAAGCCTTTCTTCAAATATCTGTCACAAAAGGTCCTGTAGGGTGGTAAACCACTGACCTGGCTTCTGCCCTTTCTTTTTGGTAGGAGGCGGAGGAGGGGGTGGGAGTGTCTGAGGTGGTGGTATGGGGCCTGCCGAGTCTTCCTGGCTCTTTTCCAATTCTTTTCTCTGCTTATCTTCTTGCACTTTATTTGCAAAGAATGTCCTTAATGGCAAGAAAATATGGTTTTAAAATTGGCCATACCATGATATATACCATTTATACAGAATACCATTCATGTTTTATAGCTAACCCCAGTATGTTTCAATAAAATGCTCTTTAGCTACTTAAGAATAAATTAATATCCAAAGCAAAAAAATAATGATGTGGTTATAAAAGTGTTCAAGAAGTGAAATACATTTAGCCTGGAAACAAATGCTTAAAGATTTCAAGGAGATATTTGTTAAGTTATTTGAGCTTTGTTTGCATTTTCAAAATCATATTGGAAAGCACAATTTGATTACAGGGTATTGGATTGTCTTTTTGTATAAATGATATGGAGAATACATAGTGAAACATAGCATTAGGTAAACGATTTCTTTTTTGGAGGGGTTCTTAACATGAATAATGAAAAAAACGGGGTGACTCCCCTTTAGGTATAGTTACACAAAATTTTAGCGTCTCCTCACATCCCTGAATCCCACCCCCAAAAGGAGAAGAGGATAAAAGCTTCCATGGGCAAAAAGAAAAAAAAGACAAGAAGTAGATTTACATTTAATTTATTAATGCCAGCAGGGGCAGCATCTTGAGAGGACAAAGGGAAATTCATCTAAACTATCAACCATAAGGGCAAAGTACTGGCATTTCTATACATGTAAGGACTCAAAAATCTTGTATCCCATAGCCCCTTTCTCATCTTACTTTCAAAGGCGATAATCCAGAAAACTACAAAAGAGGAAAATACAGGATCCAGAACCAGAAGAACATGAAGTCCTTATGATATCTCTGCAGTGGGCCCAGAGAGGAACAAGTTCTGATGGGAGTTTTAGGAAAAAGAAACCCAAAAAGAAATGGTAAATGGAATACATTCAGAAGTTCCAAAGAAAACAAAAACCATTTAAAAGTTTTAATGAAAGTCATCATCCAACTTTGAGGCCACCTAAAACATGACATTCTATAAAATTAACCAAATGATCAAGCATTAAAACAGAGGGTCAGGGCCAGGGGTTTAGCACAGCGGCACACACAAGTGCCTGCCTGGCAAGCATGAGGTCATGAGTTCAATCCCTGGTATACCCCCCACTCCCCCCAAAAAAGAAACTCTATGGATTAAATTGAACCTCTTTAAGAGAGAGAGACAGAGACAGAGAGAGAGAGAACGAGAGAAGTGTCTAGTTTTGCTTGACCACAAACAGAAAAGAAAAATTAATCCTGACCCATTACTTGGTTTGGCACTGAGCAATGACTTACACACCTAGTAAATTCTTCCTTGGTTTTTAAATTTAGACTCCTAATTTAGAGGCTAAGGGTGGAAGAGCAGAACTATAAGCACAGCCATTGTGATCATATGGAAGGATAGGAAGAAGACAAAGGCAGCGTGGGAGGGTAGAGGAGAGGAAAGGACATTATGTGTCCATCTTTTCATAAGAAACTCTTTTGGTAAATCCTAGGGATGTTCTAGGAATAAAAAGAGGCCAATAGGTCCTATGTAACCTTATACAGTAAGTTTTCAATAATAGAATTTTTATATAGCTATTAATAATTACTATATTTTGTAAAACTCCACTGCTTTGATATATGCTTCTTAAGTTGACTTGCCTACTGTATAGATCAGAGCCATTTTTCCCCCACAACTGAGATGCAAAGACAACAGATAGTAGGCATACTTGACACGTTTTATTTTGAGAGGAAGCTGTACCTGAGCGTGCAATCCACATCAGCCTGGTTGGAGGGCACCAGGCCCTGCAATTCCTGAGTGATGGCCTCATTGACCCACTGCACAGCAGTGCTCACTGCCAGGTTCCTTTCTTCTCCCTCGGCCTCCACCAGCTCAGGCAAAGCATTCTCATGGACTTCAAAGTACGTAGGGACCATCACAGAACAGATGCTCTAGAAATGATATAAATGTGCCATGCATTTCCTCTACTCAAAGAAACTAGGAGATTGAATTAATGCAGCTTTTAATATGCAAAATACTTTAAAATCCAGCTTTTAACATGGAAGATATAATTTTCACTGAGATATTTTTAGAAATGTTGAAACTGCAAAACCTAACCTCACAAAACATTTAAAGTGATTACCTTGTTAAAATCATCCTACAAAAATGCGACATTGAACTTCATTCTTATCACTACCTTTCCAATAAATAGCTACAAAGATGTGAACAGATTATTTTTTGGTGCTGGGAACCTAGGACCTAGGACCTAGGATCTAGGACTGAGCTATGTCCCTAGACCTTTAGATTTTGGGACAGGGACTGTGTCTTTAAATTGCCTTGCAATTTTCAATCCTCCTGCCCCATCCCCTGAGTAACTAGGATTATAGGCATGCACTGCTTCATTTGGAATGAACAGATTTGATCATAGTTACTCTCCCTGGGTGCTATGGGTTGTATCCAGACTTCCTTCCAAAGCCGCAGGCACTCATAGGTGGGGCCTTTTGCAGCTGGCTGGATTGAGGGTGTGTGATACTGAGGGTGGGATAAATAAATGGGTTTATTATAGTGCTGGGTGTGGATAATGGAAGCTCCAACCTTCATGTGGGGGCAGCAATCAACTGGTTGTAGCGTGGATGGAATATAAAGGGACAGAAAGAAGGCAAACCTGTGCTGCTGCGTGATGCCTTCTGATTGGCATGCCAAGGACTATTTCTCCTCCTTGATGCTCCTCTACCATGCTGCCCTGCCTTGGAGCTGAAACAAACCTTTCTTCCTTCAACTCTGGATGTTGAGTATTTTGTATCAGTAATGAGAAAAGTAACTAAGACATCAGTCTGTATCAAAATTGCTTCTAACGAATATGTAATTAAAGTGAATTAAAATGAATTGTTAAAATTATTTTCTTCAGTCTACATACTTACAAACTGATACATGAATAAATTTGTAAGCATGTATAGTGACAGTTTATTAGTAATACCAGATTTATTTTATAGTTTATTAGTAATGTCAGATTTTAAAAACTATTTTTGCTTTTCTTTCTCTATCTTGGATCATCTTCAGGTTAGTGTCTACATTAAAATTATACCTTAACATAATATAATATATAAATCAACAAATCATAGTTGATTTATATATTTATATTTACATGATTATTAATGAATAAATCATACATATATTTAACAAACACAATGTCAAAGCATTAATTATCTAAAGTTCAGATAAGAGTTACTGATAAATACAGTGGCCAGGACACCTTAAAAGAATACGTTTCAATTGCCTCATACCTTGTGAAAATTTTGAATGGTGCAGAATACTTCCACCTGCAGGGTAGGAAGCCCAAGTCCATCCAGAACACTTTTCCCCATTATTTTGCAGATGGTGGGAGGCTTAGCAAGTTTAGAAAAACAGTTTGCCTTCAATGCACACACACATACAAAAAATAAAAAGAACAATCACAATACTGCATCAAATTAATTTTTAAAAGATCATTCACATTTACTCTAGTTCCGTGACGGTAAATCTTTTAGAGCTTTCAGTGATAAAGACAGCATGCTATGGCACACATGCCAGAGGTCTGCCATCTCTGCCTACTTCCACTAAGCCTTTCTGCATGCCAGTGCTAGAGAAATAGCTCTGTGGGAACAACCCTGCTCTCACTACTGAGATCTCGATTGAGCCCCCCAACACACACACACACACACACACACACAACCTGGCACATGGGACAATGTGTATATTTTTCAACTCTCAGTAGCAACCTAGACACTTTGTTTAATTTAAAGACGCTGTGTCCCTCTGTAGCAGGCCTTCCTATAGTCAACTCAGTTTCCTTAGTTCCTCAGTTCCCTCTGCTCAAGATACAGAAGTCAATCAGCTCCTGGAAATTGTGGTGAATTCACATTTAAGTAATCTGCAGGGAGCTGGCTTTTCCTCCTCTTAGCAAGGTATCTGAGTTTGGAAAGGGGAAGAATTATTTAGCAGCTGGGTCTCACTGTCAAGCTTCTGCGTAGTCCTGTATGTTTACAGAGGCTTGTAAGAAACCTTAGTAGCAGCAACTTCATTGAGGTGGAAAAAACGGTAGCCATTTAGAAGCAATCCAAGAAAGAACCTGAAGAAAGAAACAGGTAAAAGGCCATGCCAGGAGCCTGATTAAAAAGATTTAAGATTATATGTTTCTCTGCAAAGAAGCAAGAACAGAGGAAAGATAAGAAAGGGAAGTGGGGGAGAACTGTGGAGTTCCAAGCAAGCAGGCGGGCACACACTGTCCCTGGAGCCCAGCCTGTTTGGGACCCTCACACCATCTGGGTGCAGTGGAACAGCTGGGCGGGTCTGGGGCACCTGCATCCGCCTCCCCGTGTGTCTGGAGGACTGTGGATTTCTAAGCAAGCAAGCGAGCATCACTAGTTCCAGAGGCCCTGCGTCCTGGGGTAAGTGCCCCACGCACTCTCCCCCAGCCCAGCTTGTTCAGGACCCTCGAGCCTTCTGGGTGCAGAAACAACTAGGTGGGTCAGAGGCACCTACATCCACCTCACCGTTCTGGCTGCACTTGGAGAACTGTGGAGTTCTAAGCAAGCAGGTGGGTGCCCAATGTTCTTGGAACCCAGCTTGTTTGGGACTGCAGAGTTCTAAGCAAGCAGGCGAGCGCCAGGGGTTCCAGAGGCCCAGCGGCCTGGGGGAACTGGGTAGCAGAGTCCTAGGAGCTGCGAACATAGACGTGGATTTCCAACAGACCCTGAGGAAGCTTTTGAATAACACTTGAAACACAGAAATATAGGAAAATGACAAAATGAAAGACCAAATTACAACCTCAAACCTCCAGCCCATCTCAAGAAACCCTAGGAGCGATGTATATAGAGGAGAATATATGCCATATACCTCAAATATCGGACATAATAGCTACTGAAATAAACAAGCAACTCCGGGAAGCTTGAAAGGAATTCAAACTCGAAATAATCTCCCAAGTAAAAGAAGAAATGATAAAAGAAAGAGATGCTGAACATATCTAAAGAAAACACAGTTAAAAAATTTGAGGAACTAAACAAAAAGATAGAATCCCTAGATGAGCAGTATAAGAAACAAACAGAATATATAAAGCAGATGCACAAAGATATACAGGAAATCAAAAATTCCACTGAAAGCTGTAAAAACCGCCTCAATGAAAGTGAAGATAGAATTTCAGACCTTGAAGACAGGATTGCAGCCAGTGAACAGGAAAGGAAGGATTTTTTTTAAAAATAACAAAGAATCAGGAAATAACAATTCAACAACTGCAAAATGACACAAAGAAAAACAACATAAGATTGATAGGGATTAATGAAAATGAAGGGGACAACATAAAGGATGTCAAGAGGATATTTAGAGAAGTAATAGCTGAAAATTTCCCAAGCATGAGATCAGAAACCGACATCAGGTTCAGTGAAGCATTATAGAACTCCAAATAGTCATAACCAAAATAAAACTATACCCAGCCATATAATAATCACCATCCCAGAAATCCAACACAAGAATAGATTATTAAAAGCTGTCAGAGAAAAAAGACAGATCACTTATAAAGGAAAACCTATCAGAATCACAGCAGACTTCTCAGCACGAACAATAAAGTCAAGAAGAGCACGGAGTGAAGTATTCTAGATCCTAAAGGAAAATGATTTCCAACCTAGACTGATGTACCCTGAAAAACTATCATTCAAAATTGATGGTGAAATAAGATACTTCCATGACAAAGAACAGCTGAAGAACTTTATGATCACCAAGCCAACCCTGCAAAAAATATTGAAAGACAGTTTAGATACACAAAGGAAAAAAACCACTAAGCAAAGCAGATAATTAAACAGAACAGAAAGATAAAAATGCAACAGCAGAAAGATAACATGTCAACAATAAACCAACATAAAGCAGTTATAACCATTAATGTAGATGGTCTCAATGCACCAATTAAAAGAAACAGACTGGCAGAATGGATCAAGAAACAAAATCCAACCATATGCTGTTTACAGGAAACCCATCTAACCCAGAAGGATACTCACAGACTGAAAATCAAAGGAGGGAAAACAATACTTCACGCAACAGGAATCCAAAAAAAAGCAGGAGTAGCCATTCTGTTTGCAGACAATGTGAACTTTAAACCAACAATGATCAGAAAACACAAAGAAGTTCACTACATACTCGTTAGGGGAAAACTCCAAGAGGAAGAGATAACTATCTTAAATATATATGCACCAAATTCCAGAGCACCCAGTTATATAAAAGAAGTATTAACAGAAATGAAAAATCAAATGATCAGTAACACAATTGTAACAGGAGACCTTAACACACCATTGACACCAAGGGACAGATCAACCAGACAGAAAATCAGCAAAGAAATAACAAAACTGAATCACACCTGTGAACAAATGGACTTGATAGACATATACAGAACGTTCCACCCAACAACATCAGAATACACATTCTTCTCAGCCTACATGGGTCATTCTCTAAAATAGACCATATATTAGCTCACAGAACATATTTAAATAAACGCAAAAGAGCTGAAATCATCCCTTGCATCATAGTAGATCATAGTGCTTTGAAATTAGAAATTAATGATAAAAGATACTGCAAAAATCCCACAAACACATGGAAACTGAATAACATGCTCTTGAGTAATCAGTGAGTCACAGAGGAAATTATAGAAGAAATTAAACAATACCTACAAGAAAATGAAAATACATATACAACTTACCGGAGTCTGTGAGATGCAATGAAAGCTGTCCTCAGAGGAAAATTTATTGCACTGAGTTCCCCCATCAGGAAAACAGAATGAATACAAATAAATAACCTGATGCTACACCTCAAACAACTAGAAAAAGAAGAGCAAGTCAAGCCCAAAGCCCAAAGAAGAGAGGGAATTATAAAAATCAGAGCAGAAATTAATGCAATAGAGACTAAGAAAACAATCCAAAGAATCAATGAATCAAAGAGTTGGTTCTTTGAAAGAATAAATAAAATTGATAAGCCTCTAGCCAACCTTATTTTAAAAAGGGAAGAAAAAGCTCAAATTCATGCAATAAGAAATGAAAAAAGATGAAATCACTACAGACTCAGAAATACAGAAGACCATCAACATCTATTTTGAAAACCTCTACTCTCAAAGGTTTGATAACACAGAAGAAATAGACAAATTCCTAGAAACATATGAAGTACGAACGCTAAATCAAGAGGATGTAAAACTGCTGAATAACCCAATCTCTATTAATGAAATTGAAAATGTAATTAAGTCCTTACCTACAAAGAAGAGCCCAGGCCCAGATGGATTCACTGAAAAATTCTACAAGAAATACAAAGAAGACCTAATGTGGAGACTCCTCAAATTATTCAATGAAATTGAAAGGAAAGTAAGCCTTCTTAAGTCATTCCTGGAAGCAAATATTACTCTAGTACCAAAACCTGAGAAAGACCCAACTAGAAAAGAGAACTATAGAGCAATCTCCCTAATGAATACAGATGCAAAAATCCTCAATAAAATATGGGCAAATAGGATGCAGCAAATCGTCAAGATTATACTCACCATGACCAAGTGGGATTCATCCCAGGCATGCAGGGATGGTTCAACATACGCAAATCAATAAATGTAATCCACCATATCAATAAAGCCAAAAGTAAGAATCACACGATCATTTCTGTAGATGCAGATAAAGCTTTCAACAAGGTCCAACATTCATTCATGATAAGAACTTTACAGAAAATTGGAATTGATGGTCTTTACCTCAATATAATAAAGGCCATCTATGACAAACCAACAGCCAGTATCATACTAAATGACCAAAAATTGAAGGCCTTTACTTTAAAATCAGGCACAAGACAAGGATGTCCTTTATCACCACTCCTATTTATTATAGTACTGGAAATACTAGCCAGAGCAATTAGACAAGAGAGAGAAATAAAAGGGGTAAAGATAGGAAAAAAAGAAGTTAAATTATCATTGTTTGCAGATGACATAATACTCTACATAGAAGACTCCCTAAACTCCATTGAAAGACTCTTAGATATAATAAATAAATTCAGTAATGTAGCTGGATACAAAATCAATACTCAGAAATCAATAGCATTCCTATACACTAACAAAAAAATCACAGAGAGGGAAATAAGAGAAACCACACTCTTCGCACTAGCAAGCAAAAAAAAAAAAAGAAATATTTAGGAATTACTCTTATGAAATAAGTGAAAGACCTATACAGGGAAAATTATAATACACTGAAAAAAGAAATTGAAGATAATCTCAGAAAATGGAAAGACAACCCTTGCTCATGGATAGGAAGAACAAACATTGTGAAAATGGTCATTCTCCCAAAACTATTATACAGATTCAATGCAATCCCAATAAAAATACCATCAACATACCTTATAGATCTAGAGAAATCACTCCTAAAATTCA